GTCATTTATCTTGAAATTGATTAGTATTGAAGTCTTTTAGAATTATGAGGTATCAGTTTTTAACTCTGGCCTCAGTGGTTCAAGTAAGTAGCTGGGACTGGGTTTGTTTCAGAAGAAAGGGGTGGTTTAACAGAAGATAGATTGAAATAATACAAGACTTGTTGCCATTAGAAAAGTAGAGGTCAAGGCAAACTGCTGTTCTATGGAAGATATTGATTTTGTGGATATATGGTTGCAACTAGTTGCATATCATTAGAGCTGTTTCTAGACTAGTTTCTCGTTGATTTCATCTATAGGATGAAAGTTTGAGGTATATATTTTATAGAATAAATTAGGTAGTAATTTTATTGTTGAGTTTTTTAGCTTTGTTTCTGTAAAAGAAATTATATGTAAGTTTTCTTTTATATAATATTCTACCCAAGTTTGTATTTTTAGTAGATCATTAAATTCTCTGATGTTGTGAGTAGCTATATTAATTTTTTGTATAGGTTAAGTTCTAGTTGTTTTAATATATCTTCATTTTCTGATGATAGTATCATTTTTATAAAAAGATATATGCTTATTGATCGTTTGTATTAGGATTTAACTCTGCTTCTGGCATTTGTATATCTATTATCATTGTAGGTGTTTCTTGTGAATCAGATGTCATTATAGATATTTCTTGTTTCTCAAAGATCTCAAAAGATAGCTCAGGTAGGTCTATCAAATTCAGGTATCATATAGTATGCGAAAGGTTCTCAAAGGGTTTCTAGCACTAGAGAAATATTGTGATGTTTTTTTATAGAAACATTTATATCAGTAATTCCTTTCTCTATAAGGGCCGCTTGAAGTTGTTTAATTGTTGAGAGTAGTTTTGTTAGATTTGATCCTTTTCTTTCTCTTCTTTTTTTTTTATATTAATCCAGAATTGAGGTATCATATAGAAATAGTAGTGTTCATATAGTGCTTTGGCTGTAATGCTTAATTTTTTAGGAGTTGAGATTAGTAGTGTCAAATTAACCTGAGTAACTAGATTAGTATCTTTAGGTAAGTCTGAAAGATCTGTATAGTTGAAGTTATAGTATGCTAACGGTAGTAGTGTTGGAATATTATAAATAGGTGAAATACTTTTGATAAAAGTATTTGCCTCTTCTTTACTTTGTAAGAAAAATACAAAGTTTGTTATTTTTAGTTGCATTAGATTTGAGGACAGACGTTTATAAGAAATAATATAATCATTAGGAAGTCTTGTAAATGAGTAGTTTATTCATAAGAGTCTGATATGCTTTTGAAGTTTTCTTAGTTTTTGGGTAGAAATGAAAATATCTTCTTTAGTCTTGGTGTTAAGTCTTGTGGAATACAAGGTAGAGGTTGCTTAGAAGCAGATAAGTCAAAGTATTCTACAAAATTTGTTTAAAGAAGTAAAACTTCTGCAATGATTCTCTATATTGGCTTAGCTTTGCAGATCTGCTCTGCTTGTAATAGAAAATAAGTGTTGTACTTCAACTCTTAATTGCTTGTAAGAGGTAGGCAGAGGTTCTCTGATATTTGCAATATATGTGTTTGGTATTTTATCAAATGAGAATATTAATATAAGGTCTTAGCTACAGGTGTGGTAAGTAGCCTATTTGAAATTGATAAAATAAAAGAAATTGCTCTTTGTAGATAACTGAAAATTAGTTTCAGTTTAGCAGATAAAGGTATTAATACATCTGTAATAAGGTTTGAGATTATCCATTATGTTGTTTCAAAGTCGAGATGTTTTAAGATTTTTGTAAAGCCTGCTAGATAAAATATATATTTTGTAATTTCTCAAGCATCTAAAGAGTTGAAGTCTAGGTTGATTAGGTAGTCCAGAGCTAACTTTACCTGTAGTAATTTAAAAATTTAGTCTTAGTTTTTCTTATTTGTAGCTAAGACATTATGTTGTTTTTTATATGCTTCCAAAGCATTAAGAAATAGATTGTTAAATTCTTTTTGTATTGCAGTCTAGTTGCTAAAACTCGAGTAAAGCTTCTAAAAAATGCTGTGTCTTGATAAAAAAATTTTGCTATTATTGCAGTCAGGATATGGTTAGTAGTAGGTTTTGTCAAGAGCTTATATTTTATTAATTCTTTGAGGTCTTGCAAAGAAGTTAATATGTTTTTAATCTTTGGATACATCCAGATTGTTGTATTGAAAGGCTCCAATCTTTCTTGTCTGATTTTTTTTAAAGCTGCTTGTATACATTCTTACCATTTCTTTTCCTTTTCATTGATAAAATACCTATTTAGAATCTTTCTAATTTTGTTTAGAAGATCTTTGCTAACTGCTTGACTGTATAATATTTTTGTTTGTAGCTATTTATCTAACACTATATCAATAGAATGGGTCTCTTTATTGTCTCTATTATCTGAGTTTATTATATTTTGGTCTATTTTCATATTAGATAAGATGTTTATTAGCTGGCTGAATTCAAATTCTGGTTCTAACAGAGTCAGATTGTTTATTTTCTCATGTTGTTTTGTTGCAGTGAGAACTGTACAGAATATGATAAAGCTCTGAGTCAGGATCTGCTCAATTTGTTCATCTGTAAGAAAATTATATATCAGGAATTGCTCTGGATTCTGAATCAGATTTGTTGTTGTTTGAAATAATGACATCATTTCTGTCAGATTCAGAGATAAACTAGAATTTGCTATTTTTCCAGTATTTTCTTCAAAAATATCATAGTTAGCAGTGGGTAGTGTAGAAGTTGAAGTGTTATTAACAGCTTTAAGCTTTCTTTTCTTGTTTTGTATATCTATTAGGCTACTGTTCTCTATATGAATGTATATAAGTCATGTCTTCTTTATTTGAAGACTTGTTACATACTTTTTGTTGTTTTTATTATTTTTGTTAGTTGCCGATGAAGTTGGCAACAAAGTTAGAAAGAGACTAAAGTACAGAAAACTGTCTTTTTATTTCATTTAATTTTAGCAAGGCTTGTCTGTTGCTATATTGTTACTTTGTTAAAATAATTATTTAGTTATAGTATAGTTATGCTGTTCACTCTTTGCCATTTTTTTTTTGTTTTTTATTTATAAAATTAAGATCTACAGAAAAGAGTTTTATATTGTATCTATTTTTCAAACTTCTATACTTTATTAATTATATTTACTAACTATTTTTAAGTATTATTTTATTTTATTTAATAAACAATCTATCTGTTATTTGAAGAGAATCTGCAAATTTTTATAAATAAATTTTATTATTGAGCTAAATATAAAGTGCTCCAATTTAAAAATTTTTTTTTTACTAAGCAAATCACTCTTAGCTTCTAATAAAAGTTGTAGAATTCATCAGAATGCATCTAATGGAAATAAGAATGTTAAAATTAGCCTAGTAGTTCTTAAAAAATCTTTAAAAAACATTTGTTGATATATAAAATTTTTTAAAAAATTTTACTGTATATGTTAATAAAATGTTTTTTTAAAGATTTCTTAAAAACTACCAGGCCAATTTTAATATTTTTATTACTATTAGATGTGTTTTGATAAGCACTGCAACTTTTGTTAGAAGTCTAAGAATTATTTACTTAGTAAAAAAAAGGTTTAGATTGAAGCACTTCACATTTAGCTCAATAGTAAAATTTACTTATAAAAATTTACAGATCCTCTCCAGATGACAGATGGATTATTTATTAAAGTTATTAATCAAAAATCTATAGCAATTATAATAGATAATACTACAAATAATTATTTATATTGTATAATAAATACTTTTTTACTTTTTGCTAAAATATTAAATTAGTTTAATTAACTTTTCAGAAAATATAAATAATTTAATACAGTAATTAGTAAAGTTCTATCAATTCTTTTAGTTAAATATAATATTCTTTATACTTTATTAAAAATATTTTTATCTGATTTTATTGAGAATTGATATATTATGTGCATATACATGGATATTGTTATTTTTCAAAATCTTTATTAATAAAGCTACTTCTGGTATTCTGACCAAAAAGATTTCTTATAAAATTTTAGCATAAATTATGCCTTTCTTTAAGCTCTAAAACTAACCTTATCCTAATATTAAACGGAATTAACTTTTGTTAAAAAAATCATATATTACACGAATATGCAAATCATTAACTAACTGTACGTACGTATGTACGTACATTGTGTAAACTAAATTTATGTCAAATGCTTTTTAAATTTTATTAATACGTACGTACGTAGTAAGAAGTTGCAAATTTAATTTGGTATTACGTATAAATATACTGTACTTATTTAAATATTCTATATATAAAATAGTGTATATGTTGTAAGTGGATTCGGAATTTATATATAAACCCCCGTTTTAGGGCTGATTTTATCATATGTACACCCTAAATTTAACTAGGAAATTCCAAATCCACTTAAATTCCATTCCCACTTACAACATATTGATAATTTTAACCGGGGGAGAATTCATCGATGTGCTATATCTAAAAAAACCTACTACAGTACTAGCTAACTTACGTCAGGGGCACTAAGTAGAGCCCTCAAAAACCTTATGCTAACTAAAATTGGGCCTTAATATCTAACCCTAAGCTTTGTCTAAAATTATATCCAAATCCTAAATTTTAATAATAATTCTGAGGGACCAATTTTACCCCCGGTTAATCATAGTAATTTTCTTAATAATTAACGTTAACAATAAAATTAAAAATATAAATCTTAAAGCTTATCTATTTTTGTATTGTATAATTTGTATATTAGTAACACATTAAATATAAGTCAGTTAATTAGACATATCGATATTGCAACTAATTGATCTATATTTGTGTGTGTTAATTTTGTTGTTTATTATTAATAAATAAACAATTTCTCAAATTTACATCGAAATTTTGGATGTATCCATTATTTGACTACGTATAACGATAACAACAATTTACATGTCATACGTATCGTAAATGCACGCTGTCGGGTAATTTAAGTCCGAATTTTATTGTACGTATGCGTATACTGATCAAATGATGTGTGGGAAAGTACTTATAGAGTATATTTATGGAAATTGATCTAGGATTGTTGTTGGCCGTTTTTTAAATAGACAATTTCAGCCACATTAACCATAATCTTATACGTAAAACTTTGCACGCAACCTCCGACAGCCATGCATACTTAAGCGGTCTGAACAATTAGTTATTTTACATTGTGCGACTGCGGACTTAATCCGTACCGGGCACTATTAAAATCCGACCTTATACATATTATGTCATAGAGCCAACATTCATTCAAAAATCACGTTTGTATTTTCGTGCTGGGATCTGCAAGGCCCCCATAAAAATTAAGAGTTACTTAGTTTGTATTACGTAACTATATAAATAGTACACAAGCATTTTTAAACAGTTTTGTTTTCTCTTTCTTCGATGTAAAAATCACGATCCTAATTATTTTTGTGACTATTTCCTACACTTAGCTAATAACACCATTTTATTAACAATGACATCCGAAGGGATACCAATTCATATAAAACAACCTATGATTCATACGAATATATCCGAAGAAAGCATGCTTGACTCAACGTCCGAAATTACATCAACTGAAACTTTACAAGAAACATCAATTACAAAGTTACCGGACGTTATATCACAAATAATTCAATTTCTTTCGGCTGTTTTCAAATTTATGGCTTCAAAAGATCCCTCATTACGAACTTTTGCACCAGAAATAGCTTTCCTTTTGGATGCTGTTATGACCTTTTTTTCGACAACATCAAAAATTAATTTAATATTATATCTAATGATTTTCTTCGCATGGAGTTATCTACAGAAATCTCCTTTAATATTGCTGATACTTGGATGCGCTTTTGGCTATATGCTTCGGAGCAATTCTGATGCATCTAGCCAGAAAAAGGTTTTTTTGGCACAAGAATCTTATATACAACAAAATACACAAAATTCTCTACAGGTGATTCTTATTATACGTTATTTTTAATAGGCGAGTGCTTCTGAAATTCAGTATTAATATTTGTGTTGTTCCGATAACTAAGGCCATTGAATATGAAAAAGCAACTTCTTCAGAACTTTCTATTACCCCTCGAGTAGATGATTCATTAAATAAAGCATTTGATTTTGTCGTTCGGGATATAGTTGTTTTTTATTATGATCAAATAAATTCAAGCAAGGATTCCGAACTTTACATTCATGTACGAAATGCCATGAATGTTATGGCAACGAATTTGTCTTTGTGCCTCCAGAATGTTGATAAAGTAGAATTAGGAATCATGTCTAGTTTTGCTATTGCAAACAATTTTATTGTCCATTTGGTATGCATTTATTAAAAAAAAAAAAAAAATCTTTTATTAATTATCTCGGCCTTTAACTTTTTTTTTTTTTTTGGTATTCAATAGCGCGAATATAAAAAATTTATTTTAACAAATGAACCATTGAGTACTTATTGCTCAGAAAATAAAACATCTCTACTTGCTCACACCACAAACAGAGAATCACAAGCACAAGTACTCCGTTCCTTATCTAAATTATTAATGACCCGTCTTTTACCATCAAATGAGGCTCAAAGTCATATATTGATGGCGTTTCTTTCTGAATTATGGGCTATTCAAGTTTTTGAAGCAATACTCGAAAAAATATGTGATTCAGATTGGTTGAATTGTACCATTGTTGATTATTTAATGGATAGTGATCCAGGAGAAACTCATGAGGAAACCCTTTTTCACCAACTAGCAACTTCGATAGACGAAGAAGTTGCCGGTCTAACAGATAAACTTAATGAACCATCGAATGATTATCAAGCATCAATATCAAATAATCAACCTTTGACTATAAAAACTACATTATCTCAAACAAATATGCCCCTTGATTTTGACTCTGAGCGAAAAAATTCCGTTGAAATTCATGCGGAGGTTCACCCGGCTGTTAAAGAAATTGCTGACCCTACTACATCACCATCATTCTTGCCATATAATCCATTTATGAATTCTACTAATTCAGATAAAAAACTGAAAAATTCAGTTGAAATTCATACGGAGGCTTTCTCACAAGTTGAAAAAGTTGCAACCCCTATTACATCACCATCATCACCTTCACCACGTCGTTCATATATGCGCTCCGCTAATACAGAAAAATTACGATTTATTCTTGAACTTCAATCACATACTTTTGCTGAATTTATGGCTTTTCTGGAAGAACGTAAATCTGCGAATTTACTTCGATTTTGGCTTCAAGCTGATTCATACAAGAAAATTGCAGCTAATGAAACAAACATAGAACTGATTCAAAATGACGCAATGAGAATTTTTAAAACTTATTTTGGTGAAGCTGCTTCATATCCTGTGAGAGTAGTTAATGATATGTTAGTGAGGCAGTGTGTTAGAGAAATATCGAATGGACCTACATGTAATTGTTTTAGAAAATTGCAAGAATATGTATTCGTAGTTTTGGAAAATGAATATTTCGATGATTTCATTCAAGCGATGAAAAATCAAGGTGGAGATGTCAGTTTTATGTATGTTGAGGAACCGGCTCAATTTGAAAATCTATCTCGGGTAGAAGATAAACCCGTTATAACGAATGATTATAAACGAAATAACACAGTGGACAATTCATCCTTAGATTCTTTAAACCGACCAAATTACTCCGATTATTCACTGCTTAGCGAAAACGAATCTATGGAATCAATAATACATCGTGCTAGATCATTTACTACCGGATTTTTTGTGGATTCACTTGGAACTAATGAAAGTTCTGTAGACACGCTCATAGAAGAAAAGGATGAACGTAATTTGGAATCACTGCCTGACCCTTCAAAAACGCCAATCATGAACCTTAGTGGAGTAAGAATAAAGATGACGGATATTTCTGAAGCGTCTTCAAATAGACTAATTTATTCAACAAAGTCCCTTACCTATATGATTGAAGTTGAACAACCTGGTTCCGCAGGATGGATTATGACTCGAAGCTTTAGCGACTTTGAGGCAATGCATTCAGCTTTGGGAAAAGAATTTCCTAAAGCTGAAAAAGTAACAATGCCACGTTTAATGTTAAAAAAGAACCATGAGGCATGTCTGTCTTTAGAACGATATTTAAATATTTTATTGAGTGATATTTCTTTATGTGAAAGTGAAGCTCTCCAAAAGTTTATGAGAAGAGACGGTCTTCCAAAAGACGATTTAGGAAAGCCAACTAGTAAAATAAATAGAGCACTGTCGATATTATCAATTCCAAGATCCATATCTATGGTCAATCTTGTTGGCACAAGTCCACAAGACACTAAAAATTTAGGAAATACTTCAACAAAGTCTAGTTTCGAAAGGTCTTCAGATCATGATTCGACATATACAGATAGGCCACAAGAAATATCTGATGAAATTTTCGTTAAAAATTCTCCAACCTCAACATTCTCACTCATCACATGTCCTAGTATTGAGAGTACAGCTTCAGATGAATCAATAACATTACCTGGTGAAAATGATACACCTGAGAAGGAGAATGATACACCTGAGAAAGAACCTGTTTTAGAAAACCCTCGTCGTCCAAGACCAAATAAACAAATGACAGGTCAAGATATTGATCTTCTTATTGATACAATCTTTGATACTATCGAAGAAATATTTGATTTGTCAGAAAAATCTCAATGGCATCTTCGAAAGACCGTTTTATCTGTTTTAAGAGGTCTGGTACGAAGGTCTTATACTGAAGCAATAAAGCAGTATTTTCTAACAACCATAGACTCATTTTCCACTGAAGAATATATGGTGTCGTTGATTGATGGTTTTACAAACTCATTTTGGCCAAATGGAGTATGGGCAGAATCTGCTCCACAACGAAGTGAAGAAGAAAAATTACGAACAAAAGATGAAGCTAAACGACTACTCGTACAAAATGCTATCCCCGCTTCTTTAAGACAAGTGGTGGGTTATGAAAATTCTAAAATTATGGTTGGAAAATTAGTTGATGGATTTTTAGCAGAGAAAGAAGTTGTAAGAGGGATGGGTATTAATATCCTGGAAAGTGTTGTTAAACTTATTATAAATGGATGAGGTTCTTTTAATATTTTTATTATTGTAATAGCTCCCCACTTTTGTAGATATATACATGGTATGTAGTTTTGTATGAATTATCTACTTTAATATTTATTATGTTTATATCGATATATTTTAATTTTGAGTTAGATAATTTGATATCAATTTAATATATTTTGGTTAAATTAAAAAAAAGGGTGCTTGGGTCTATATATCAGAATATGTATTCGGATAAATCGGATATCCATTTCTGTATAATATTAAAAAAAAAAAGAATATCCAGATCCAAACTCTATTTAAAAGGATTTACTAGATAACCAATTAGACAAAATAAAAGTGATACTATATATATATATTACATTTATTTGAATTAAAGTTGAATTATTATTTTTATTCGATTCTGATATATGTTGTAAGTAGATTTGTGAATTCTATGAATTCAATATTTTTATCATCATCATTCATATTTAATGTATCTCACTAGAAATCTCATTAAAATATAAGTAATCTCTTAATAAATGGTCATTAAAATTCAGAATCAATTTTAAGTTATATCGTTGATAATCATATTTTCCAAAGGCTGTTCAAATTTCGACCCAAGAATATATGCGAAATCACGCCTACCTGCGTCACGCATGAGTGTTATTTGAAACAAAAATAATTTTACCGAACCTGGCTCTCAAATCACTATATACCTACTTCTAGCCTGGTTGACACCTTAAACGGGGTGCGCGTTATTTTGAAACCATTTATATTATTTTCATAAGGCACAATTTCTAAATGATGCCCATGCGATAATGCAGTATATATATATATATTTATTTATTGATTAGATAAAATTCTAGAAACCCATTTTTTAGACACTAACAAAATGTATGAAAACGGAATACTTGAATGATAAATACGAAGATCTCAAAATATTGTACAAGAAGCTACCAACTTTTTACCGTAGTTGACACAAATGTAAAGGCAAGTTAATAATTTTATAAATATAACTGTCATTGTATACGTACCTCTTGTATCAAAGTTTATTAAATTTGTTTCGGTTGTCTACAAAGTACACATATGCATTTTTAAAAAAATTTGCAAATATTTGATATATAAGCTTCAATTTATATCTGAAATTCTTGTAACTTTGATAAGTCAACCAAAATACTGTATTTATAAAGATTAGTTTTAAATAGTTAGGGAAAAGGTGTATTTAATGATATAATTAGGAAGATTTGACCGAATATTGCTTGGAGCTGTCTTTTTTTTCTTACCGTATTTTCGCGAAATAACGCGCATGCGCGTTATTTC